GCTTCCCTCATCAAACTGAAGAGAACAAAAGAGAAGGACAACAACACAAAGCGGCAGAGGACAATCGGTCACACAACTGGATACAGAAGAATACACCTGTGAGAGGCTCCAAAGGAGACTCTGGAATAGATTCAGGGCAGCAAAGGCAGCATAGACTGGAAATAAATAAAAATGGGGGCTTTCTAAGCTAGAAAGCAATTCAAGCTGCAGTTGTGACAACAGGGTTGCTACTTTCATAAAATAAAAATTGCATGAACTAAGAAAGTGCTTTATCTAGGTAAGAAAAACCCAGAAAGGAAAAGATTCTTAATCCTAAAGGCCAATGAATACTGGGAAAAGTAAAGTATTAGAAGAATGCAAAAGCATAAATACAAGCAGAAGAGGAAAATCAAAAAGCTGTTAAAACTTAAGCTACTGCTTTGCCAAATTGCCACTTATCATACAAGATTTTTAGTCTTGGAAATTCCAAGATTAAACAATAACAACCAGAAAAAAGAAGGGTCAGTAAATGCTCATGACTGAAGTGGAGCAGCGAAACAGATGGGCAGAAGGCATTTCACATAAGTCCTCAACAGATGCAATCCCATCTCAACATCAGAATTCACTAAAACATTTGAATCTAAGCATCTTGATTTGAAACATAATCCAGAGGGAGCGCATAAGCATAGGACAAAACAAAAGAGAAGAACAACAGCCACGTGTTGATAATAAAATTCTAGAAACAGGCCAAATAAAACTTGCCTAACAGATCTGTTCATGAAGTCTGGGAAAAAGAGAGTTCTTCTAAACACAGAAAATACACCATTGTCAGAATACCATGAGGAGGAGACAGCTACTGGAGAGGCGTCAGACGACTTTCAGTTACAGAGGAAATCACTTATAACATGCTACTACATGAACTGATAAAGGACAGCAATTTGACTCAGAGAAGACTGATCCCGGACTCAGGCCAGAGAGGTCCCACGAGACGTCTGACACACTGTGCATGCCTCCCAGAGGACAGTGCCCAACGGTTAGCTCCCCTGGTCCTCCATGCCCAAGAGGCATTCGACATCGTGTGCAGACATGGTGGCCTTCAGCCACAAAGTAGGTAGTTGCTTTGGGCAACCAGGGGCTGTCGACTGACAGCTTTGCTTAAAGAGGAGGAAAGACCCAGATCAGTCACAAATCGGTTCTGGTGATATCACGACATCGAACTTTGGAGCCCCAGGCACAGGGCATCCTCCTTTGAAATTCACAATTGCATTTTGCCCACCCTGCCAAGAAACTTTGAACCACCTTGGCGCACAGCCCTACACCACCAATCGCCCTTCCGCTCCGCCGACCCTGTGTCACTGTTGTGAGATTTGGGGATTTTTTTTAGACACTACCTTTTAGATACCACTTTAAGCACAAGATATAAAAAGTCATACATCCCACTAGACGAAGCGAACAGCACACCTGCAGTTTCCAAACATGAACAAAAAAAGGTCTCTCTGCTTAGCAGGATTAGCTGCGAGCACAGGAGAGTGGTTGAGACCTGCTCTCTCCATATCTGTGCCAGCAGAGAGGGGCCACCACTGCTGAGAGAGGAGCCGCTCATTACTGTGATTTAATAGCAACAAGTAAGAGCCATCACCAAGTCCAAGGCCTCTGTGCCAGATACAGTACAAATAAGTTTCTGGCCAGAAGAGATTACACTTGTGTCCTGCTTTCATAAAGGATCTATTAATGCTGAGACTCCTGGCTTAATAAATCAAGAAATTAAACGCTGCCTAACACCACTTTTTATTCACTGCCCTATGCACATGTGTTTGTGAATATCAGGGGCTTGGTAATTTTTATGATTTCAGGCAATCTTTTAATTGCTTATTCAAATACTCTCCTGTGCTAAGGATGACACTTAGCTGAATACAAATGACGAACAAAGGCGCTAAGAAATTACTCTTTCCATACAGCATTGTTTTAATACATTGGATTATCATCTGAATTAAAAAGGAAACAAAAAAGAAGTGATATAAGAACTGCAAAATAAGTCTTCATAAGAGCTTCATGTGAGCTTGACGAGGCATACAATATTAAAGTTACTGCAGCTGACTACTATCTTTAGAGTTTCAGGTCAGAATAAAAGGACAATAAGGCAAGTTTTCTACAATAAGTGATACTCTATAAAGTCTTCGATACCAGCACATCCTACCCTATAATGCTTGGTGCTTGATCTTATACATACAATGAAATAAAGGCGATTTACACCACAGTCACTGTAGACGAGCAAACTTCTCTCTCCAGTGAGTTTAGCTGTATTTACAGCTTCACAGTGAGTTCAGTTTATTTAGAACCCGGAACTTCTTTTAAACCAATATGTTATTGATCAGAATTCCTAAAATTAATGAGGAATAAAAACGTAAAAATAATCTGATGCAATTTCATTCTTCTTTGATTAAATAGCCTAATTTTAAGACACCTTTTATGTTTAATTAATTATACAGCAAATGGGGTGTATGTTGGATTTGGCTTGTAGCTATAACACAGCTCACGAACTGTGATCTTCTCCTAGCTTTGCTACACTGCATTCAACCTATCTTCCTTTTTGTAAAACTGAATCTAGATTTCACTTTTTTGCACAAGAGTTTGTAGACTGATGAATTAAATCAGAAATAGATCATCTGGTGTAGAACTGTTCTAAACAATTGAGTTACTTTTCATTAAGACTTTATTGAAAAGGAAAAAAATACTGAAAAGTAAAGCAATAAAAATGAACAAATGAAACCCAAACCCTGAAATCTATATTTTATTTCATTTCCTGCAGAAAATGATTTTCCACAAAATAATTGTTTCAATAAGAAATAGAGTAATGAAATGAGAGGCCTTCAGGAGGCTAGTATCTCTCCGTTTCTTAATGGCAGAATAAAACTAGTAAGTAAAGATCATCCTCCTGTTTTACTGGGTCTGTTCACTGAACAGCAAACACAGTCAAAGATACAGCAGGCCGGCATGATCATCAAAAACACCCTAACCATGCCAAGATAGACCTTGTCTTGACAGAGGACTTCATTAGAGGCAAAATACTTCTAAATTTAAGATGTACAACAGTGCCCCTTTCGGTCAGTGTTGAAATGTCATTACCCAATCATCGTGTAAGGTGGCGACTGCTTAAGCCAAGACCTAGTAAAAGCCCTGTGCGTGGCTCACAGCAACCACAGTCCTGCTCTGCCCTCTAAAGCCTTCCTGTCTGGCTCAGGTCCCCTCTCTCTTCCTCATACCATAAAAAAAAAGCAGGAACAGGTTCAAGCCTCATCTCAAAGACCTTTTACATATAAAAATTCGAAAGATAATATTCCCAGCTCCAGCACAGATACCTCAATTTCTGCAACACAATGTAGATTCGGCTTTAAAAAAAAAGAGCTCTACAACCACACCTGAGGCCACGCTGTCAAAACAGCTCTTTCCTGTCAGCCTTTAGACAGGCCATCTCTATCACTCTAAAAATAAACTTAATTAAAAAGAAAAGAAGAGTTTCAGCTGAAATAGACCTTCAATGGCAGCATAGTATGATGTAGATCTTAAATGGCAGCACAAAGGGATGCAGCACACATCCATACACAGAATGGATTTTTATAATCATCTTTCAAATAAAAAAAAAAAAAAATGATGACTACCATCAACTGCAAACCCAGAAAATAGCATTCAGGAAGGCCCAGGCTAATTCAGATAACTAATCATAAACTTGGACAATTTGAGTTCTAGATAACGTCAGTAAATAATTCCCAATACCTTTTCCAGGATGGGAATGTTATTCCTATTGTAACATCTGTAGAGGACAACGATTCTTTTACTTACAAAACTACAATAGCAAACTTTTCCACTTTGTTCGCCTTACTTTTCAGATATTGAATTTTACACATTCAGCAATAAAAGAAATGCATCTTAATAGCTTCTTGCTAGAGACACTGAGGAATATGGACTGCAGATTTCTGCTACAAAAGGAACACCAAAGATTTATGTTTGTTTAAAAAAAATCTTTTTATTATCATGTACTCCAATTAATCAGATAACTTTAAGCAAACAAAAAGTCTCACACACGTGAGAGATTAAGTCTTTTGTTGAAAATTCTCCATTTTCATCCAATAGACTTAGGGGTGTGGGATATAGCCATTGGTCCACAAACTAGCTTGCAAATGATTCCTCTAAAGAAAACAGAGAAAATGTTCATTTTAACATCTCTGAAATGTTTCCAATCCAAGAGTAAGTGAAGAGGAGGCAAGGAAGAACAAAATGATTTCATTTCATTGTAAAAGTTGTGGAATAGCACAATGCCATGCTTCATTTTTCTCCAAAGTGAGTGTGTTGATTTCATCGGGTGGCAGTCTGAGAAGCGGCATGGTATAGTAAAGGCAGAGAGGCAAGAGAGGAAGGAAAGATTTACTTCCATTTTTTCCTCCTCTTTCTTTAGGCTCTAAAGGTTATCAGCTATCTTAAGAAGGATTTATTTTTGTGGGCTGACGACAGAGAAGGGCTACCAATGTGGTAAAGGGAGAGAGATTTTGACGACCTCCTCCCAGACCCCAGTTTAGTGTCAATCACAAGCTACATCATGAAAAGAGAAAATAGAGGAGATGGGGGTTTACACACGTATGAGGCTTTCCTGGAGGTTAAATGTGACTTTTGCTTTCAACATTCATCTTCTAATAAGAATTTAGTTCTCATGTTCTCCCTTTTCTGTCCAGTCAAATGCCTCTGAATACAGATCAGGCAGATACTTTGCTTTACGGTCCCAGCTTTCATCAAATTAACATACTAAATACGCTCTCTTGGCAGAGATGATGCCTGTAGTTTAGGGAGTCAGTCTGATGTATCACCGAGATACAAAACGTAGACACTGAAAGAACACAGGATATGAATTTTAACCACTATTTATTTTTTAAAAGTAAGAATATAGGACAGATTTGCTGCTGATTGAAACCAGCAAAGCTCATCCTTTTAAGATTTCTTTTTTTAAATGGTAATGAAATATCCCTTACCGTTTGCTGTAGATCAGGTATTATGATTCGAATCACTAACGTATTGCTCTGACTGTCTTCCATTCTGCTGCCTGGCTTTTCTGCGGTAGCTCTAATTGTATCATAAATAGTTTCTTCTTTGGAGCTGTCTGATTCAGATTCAACAGAGTAGTCTGAAAAGCTTTGTGCCATTTCATCTTCACTTGATGTTGGGCTTCGAGGCATGTTCAAGTCTTTTGCCCTACCAACAGAAAGCAGAAAAAGATAAATTATAGCTGAAGTTTCAAAAATGAATCAGCTGCAAGTTTTGTTTGTTTTCTTAGAAGTAACATGCATTTAACAATGAAGTCTTAAGTTTTGCCTTCCTCATGTTTCCTCCTGTCATTTGTATGGGTAGGCAGAGTGTAATGGAAATAAATATGACTAGCAAGTTACTACAGAAGGGGAGGAGGGACAGGAGAAGTAAAAAGAGGAATGAAAGGAAAGATGACCTTTCTTCCCTGGCACACCCAACCCTCCAAAGGATCCAGAGGAAAACGTGGCATAATTACCAGGTTCTCTCCGAAACAGCACTGTCATAAACCTTACTTGGAAGTAGATCTGGCTTTGAAGCGTACTTCTCCAAGTGCAAAAAGACATTTCAAGAGATTAATGTAAGTGCTAAATTAACATCATTCTGTACATTGAGAAACTGTATAGCTAAGGCTTCAATAAAAGATAGTATTTTCATATAGCAGAACTGACAACAAATGAAGTAGTACAGGCTGCTAGACGGAGGCACATGCTCCTCAGGAGTTTGTGGTTCATATAATACCCTTTAGCACCGATACTACTGAAAACTTCTATTTTATATACTCAAATACAGATTTTAGAAATATTTTTTAATCTGTGGTACAGATTAGGCTAAAAATAAAGTCATTTTTACTTTCAAAGTAAGGACACTCAAATGCAGGTGTCCACTGCATCGTATAAGGTTTCACAGTAAGAACAGTAGAACATTTTCCTTTTAGGTTTTTTTTAACCTAAAAAGACATGTCTCACAAACTAAAAGTTTCTCCAATAATTGAAAATTACCAATAATGTTGTTCTTTGGAAAAATGAAAAAAAAAAAAAGAATTTCTAAATTGGAAAAATTAAGAGGACCACCATTAACTTTGCATGCTTGATAATCAACCACATTATTTTTCACATTTTCAATGCAAAAAATCAAAACCTTCCAAGAGAACTTCTCTGCTTTCTAATTAAAAGAAATGGGTAAAAGAAAAAAAAAAGCCACCCAATTTCACTATCAGCCCACATGAAAAAGATACTAAAATAGAATTAAAGTACAGAAGGATGAATTGACTTTTCCAAGGTCATTCAAACAGCAGGTGACTGTACTGAGACCTCTAAATACATATTTTGTACAATGGTCTCACAACTGGAGCCCCAAACATACGTAACATTCCAACAGAAGCAGGGACTAACAGAACACTTTTTACCACTGTGTTTCACAATTCAGCTTGAGCCAATAAATATCTCAATCAGATTACTCATTCCTCTACATTGTCCCGTCATTTATACTAAAATGGTTACAGAACAGGCATAAAAGGCAATCATTGCAATTTAGCATTTTAAGGCAGCTATGCGTTGCAGTTAGCATTTATACCAGACAACAGGCAGCAGCTTCCACTTCAAGGAGGTCAAAGGCAAGCAACATATCACATATCTCCCATCATCAAGTCTTATTGTCATTTCCGACGAAAGACAAATCCATTTGTTATCCAACCTTGGACTTCAGTGTTACTACCCTCAGCTATAATTACTAAACACAGACAAAACCAGCGCATTCAAAATATGAGAGCATGCCAGTTCACAGCAGCTTAATGCAAGACTATTTACAAAAGAAAACTCTTGAGGGAGTATTTCATTTTCTTACTGCTTCACTGAACTGTAGATTACTGCAGCTCCCCAAAGCACCTTAAGTCAATAAAAAGCATAAACATTTCAATGGCTTCCTAATTTATCTACCAATGCTAAAACATAAAGCCAAAACATAGTAGGTCGATACACAGTATGTAAGAGCAAAAGAGGTATAGGCCAGTGAGTGCAAGGAAAAAGACGCTAACATCACGCACACTGTCTCCCTGAAGCCATTTGAGAGAGAAGTATGTTCCAGGGCAATGGATTTAACTCCTCTGACAGAGAGCAGTAAACTGCAATTATACAGCATACAAATAAAGAGCTGAATTAGGAAAAAAAAAATTCCCAAGGTTTTGGCAAGCGGATTTTCATGCATAAACTCAAAATCTTAAAATATCTCTTTATGGAACAACAAAGGGAAATTACTAGCTGAAGCACTGACTCCCAGGTATCAGGCAGTTAAGTTTTCTAAATAGTGGGACAAAGAATTCCCTGGAAAAGTGTCAACAAGGCACATATCACCTAATTTTCTGGAATATAGACAGCAAAAAGGACAAGTAACCACGGAAAAGTTAATGAAAGACTATATCTACAATAACAAAGAAAGAGAACCTACGCTGCTTCAGAAAGAGATAATTTGAGTTTGTGGGAGTTTTTTTAGTTGGTTGGTTGGTTCGTTGGTTGGTTGGTTTTTCTTTTTTCCTTTTTTTTTTTTTTTTGAGCAACATAATCTAACCACGGGGGAAACTAAAGCACTGTAGATGACAGTGCATGGCAGATCCTGCTAGGGAGCACAGGTCAGGCTCACCTCCCTCAGGCTACAGAGATCTTAGGGCAATTTTGGTTTTTGGCTTTTAAGCTGCATGGGAATGGAAGACACTGCCACTTGTTTACAGGAGATGCTTGATATCACAGCTCCCACAGAGAAGCTATCTTTTAACAGTATGTTTTATGTTTGCTCCAGTTATATATCAAAGACTTTTTCATAACCAATATTATTAATTGATGAAAATTGAAGGCAGGTCGCCTGACTTACCTACTACGCTCCTACAGGTGATAACTAGCAGAAGGAAGTACAGCATCCCAGGTTACTAACTCTTAGCTACAAGGACAGAATTCTTTGGGTCTAAAGGACATTATCTGCCTGAAATAGGGATTAGTTTTTTGCTGATACCACTGCCTGGAATTCCATGTTTAATTTTGTTAAAAACACAATGAACCCTAACTTCCTACAGTTATGCTGATTGTATTTTATAGGAATATAAAGCTACATCAGTGTCTGTTTCCAGTACAGAAAAGTGCCAGTTTCTCCGTAAATAGCGGAAAGAATGCAAACCAACTGCCGAAGGTTTTGGAAGTCATCTCACAACGGCAGTTACCACCACAACGATCTTTGCTCCACCTCAGGTCCCTTGTGAGGATTTTCCACCCTGCAACAGCGTCCGCTCCCAGGGGACGCTTCCCCCGGACAGCCTTCCTGGCCCCTGCTACACCCCTAACCCCGGCGAACCACGAAAGCACGAGCTCTGCCCGATTTAAACACACATCTTTTGACATAGGAAGCCGATAAAATGGCTGGAAAATGAAACAGTAATAGTATCAGTATAAGCTCGCCCTGTTTTTCTCTTTTTGCCTAGGCGCCTGCCCTTTGCCACTGCGCGAGAGCCTGGGCCAGCCGGGGGTTTCTCTGCCTGTTTGGCAATCGCCGAGTTACGATGCTGAGGCCAACGGGCCCAGAAGAAGTGCGTCGAGCTCAGGGTGCTGCTTTCCCCACTCCAGTGCTATTTTTAGATCTTTTTTTTCTATCCGGCAACCAACTTTCACAGCATCCGCAAGGAATTTGTTACCTTGTTACGTGTTACCCTCCCACCACTAAGGGCAGTTAAAAACAGCCCGTGAATAAATAAATAAAAATACTCGGGCAAATAACATGACCATTGAAATGTCATTTTCTCACAAAAGAAGAGACTAAGAGCACTCTGTAAAAGCATGGAGTGAAAATACTGCACGAATTATCAAGAGGCAAGAAATTCAAACCCCACAGCTCCGTATCTGAATGGCGTGCTCAGGTGAACGCATACTGATAACGCAGGGAAAAGCAAGAGTAGCAACAGATTGTTCCGTTTTTTGGAACTTTATGGTTGGTCAGCATTATATGGACAGAATTCATTTAATGTATACTTTAAAACTTATTTTTAACTATCTCCAGTATTATAAACTTGATAATTACCAAAGGGATTAAAAGTGTCTTTGATATGGGTACATATTGGAAAGGAATCTTAAACAGACACATAGAAGACACAAATACTCACATTACCCAAAATAACGTAAACAAAAATAATTAAAATCTTCAACTTAGTTAAGGGTATGTGTTATTTTATTTATCCTGAAAAGTAATGAACCCTCTTGTTTCCAAATCATAAATATGGCGCAAAACCAAATACAGACACAAAAACCTACGTAAAAACATCTGTTTCATATAAAGCCCCTCCCTGTTGTACTCTACACCAACCTTGGAAAATATGAAGGCAGGTGCGTTTGTCCAGTTTCCATAAAACAACCCCAAGAGTCACGTATCCTACAAAACAATGAAAGCTAATAGCAAAAGGCACAGCGATCCTGCTCTTCTGGAGCATGTCCTGACCATCACTGCTGCAGGAGCTCTTTTCTCAGGAGAAGGGGCGATAGCAGAGCGGAAGCTCCCCGGGCCTCGGGCCACGCTCCGCACCACGCACCCAGCCCCGCGGCGGCCCCGGGAACTGCCACGGTCCCACGGCCACCTCTACGCAGCACGTCGGCACCGGACACTGCAGAGAGCAGAGCGATGCTGCAGCTGCATCAAACGCTCCCCCTTGTAGCGGGAAAGTTTAGCATACAGAGAGACAGAATGAAATGCAGCCCTAACACCGAAACTAAGTTTCCATATGGAAATCACCATAAAGAGCATTTAGGGACTGTACAGTTCCTTCCTTAACCTCAGGGAGGCTTTGTTTTTGTTACCGTGTGAAGGCAGGCTTGGGTCTCGCGTGAACATCTCTTTCAAACTAATCAGAAGAGTGAATAACCTCTGCAACAGTTTTCCTCCCTCTAAAACACAGTTGAGGCACACACATCAAACGTCTTGTCCAAGGCCAACAGGGCTAGATCTCAGGGCAAGCTTTCAAATCCACGGGTCCCTGGCTCCTAGTCACGATAAGAACAATCTATTTTTATATAAACATTCATTTGCACAATAACAGTCCTGTTGCCTGAAGGGAGAAGTCTCCTAGACTGCTATTGTCAGAGGAGTTAAAAATGTACCTGGGGAAATTTCTCAGACACAGAGCCGGCATTGTTATT